CCCCCCCAGTTCCTGCCGCTGCTGTCCTGTCCGGACTGCTGTCCGAGGGAGGGGTTTCCCCTGCGTTTCCTCTAGCACTCCCAGCTCTGTTTCCGGGGGGCGGGAGGAAGATTGAGGAAGTCTGCCGTTCTTCTGCAACGTTTCTCCGGTTCCAGAGATCCGGCTTTCTGCCTGAGGGACCGCAGCCTGGGCTACCGCCTCCCTCTCTCCCTCCCTCTCCCGTCGGTGCTTACCCCTTCCGGGCCGCGCTCAGCCCCCACCTTTCCCCCTTTTTCCCCACCCCCGGCGGCCTTGGGCCCTGACGTCAGCCCTGTGTCCCCCAGGCCTCGGGCCAGCGGTGAGGAGCTGCCTCCCCCAGCCCCCGTCCCGCGGCCTCCAGCCGCCCCCAACCCCGCCCCACGGGCCCGGCGCCATGAGTGAGCTGGAGCAACTGAGACAGGAGGCCGAGCAGCTCCGGAACCAGATCCGGGTGAGGGCTGGTGTGCACTGCAGCTCTGGTCCTGGAGTGGGCCGGGGGTGGGGTGCCCCAGTTTCCCTTGCCTCATTCTCTCCACTCGCCAGATTCCTTTCCTCCTCTTGCTCTCTGCTCCTGCTTTCTCCTTTCTTCTTTGACTGGCTCTTCCCTGTCTTCCAGGATGCCCGAAAAGCATGTGGGGATTCAACACTGACCCAGGTGAGAACAACTCAGGGCTGAAATAGAGATTTAGGGAATGTGCAAGGACTGAGGCACACTGTTCAATGGGGTCCAGCTGCTAGAACCTCCCTGAGCTGTCTGTCTCCGCCCACAGATCACAGCTGGGCTGGACCCAGTGGGGAGAATCCAGATGAGGACACGGAGGACCCTCCGTGGGCACCTGGCAAAAATCTATGCCATGCACTGGGGGACAGACTCAAGGTGTGTGTGGGTTTGGTGTGGGGTTGCTGTGCTCATGGCTGACTTTATAGTGGGCGGGGGAAGGGCGGGCAGCCATGCAGATCCAGAACAATTCAGGTCGCTCTGGGGCCATTCTGTTGGGGAAGACCATGACTTGAAGACATCCTCATTGGGTCTGGAAAGGAACTTTTGGGCTGCTGCTGAGAGTCCTCTCAGAGTAGCGTCTTCCAGATAGGGAAGTGGAGTGGAAGGGTGTCCTGCCTCCAGAAGAGGGCTTCATGCCCTGATCCTTGGTCTCTCCCCTGCCACTCCCAACAGGCTGCTGGTCAGCGCCTCCCAGGATGGGAAGCTCATCATCTGGGACAGCTACACCACCAACAAGGTAGAAGCGCGCCCTGAGGCAGGCTGGGGCCAATCTGCAGGCCCCTGGCTGACTCTGACCTTGGCACTGCCCCTTCTCTCTAGGTTCATGCCATCCCATTGCGCTCCTCCTGGGTCATGACCTGTGCCTATGCACCCTCAGGGAACTTTGTGGCTTGTGGGGGGTTGGACAACATCTGTTCCATCTACAGCCTCAAGACCCGTGAGGGCAATGTCAGGGTCAGCCGGGAGCTGCCTGGCCACACCGGTAAGAGGGGCCTGGCAGCTGGGGGAGCTGCGCTGCCCTTCTCATTGGGACTTGGTTGACCAGCTCCTTTCCCCAGGGTACCTGTCGTGCTGCCGATTTCTGGATGACAACCAAATCATCACCAGCTCCGGGGACACCACCTGGTGAGATCTTGTTGGGGTTTCTGGGCTCATCCACAGGTCTTGCCTTGGGGGCCACTGATCTCAGTCCTTAGTAAGGTATACACCTTGAGTACAAGACAGGCTGGTCTTCCTTCTAAATACCTTTTATGGGCATGAAGCGGCTGTGGGAAGGCTCCCTCCTCCTGGGGCAAGCTCAGGCTTCCATGACCTAGAGAGCCCAGGGTCCTTTTCTTAAAGAGTTTCGAGGGGTGGGTAGGGAGGCAGGAAATCTCTCCTTTACCCCATTGGATTCCCTCCTTCCTTATAGTGCCCTGTGGGACATAGAGACCGGCCAGCAGACGGTGGGTTTTGCAGGACACAGTGGGGATGTGATGTCCCTGTCATTGGCCCCCGATGGTCGCACCTTCGTGTCAGGTGCCTGTGACGCCTCCATCAAGCTGTGGGACGTGCGGGACTCCATGTGCCGTCAGACCTTCATCGGCCACGAATCTGACATCAACGCCGTAGCTGTAAGTTCTGAGGCCAAAGCTGGGCTGGCCCTTTGCCCTGCCTGGTGGCTGGCCTTGCTCTGTACCCTCTACTCACTCTGGGCCTGTGTCCTGTAGTTCTTCCCCAATGGCTACGCCTTCACCACGGGCTCTGATGATGCGACATGCCGCCTCTTTGACCTTCGAGCTGATCAAGAGCTCCTCATGTATTCTCATGACAACATCATCTGTGGCATCACCTCCGTTGCCTTCTCACGCAGTGGTCGATTGCTGCTTGCTGGCTATGATGATTTCAATTGCAACATCTGGGATGCCATGAAGGGTGACCGTGCAGGTGAGGTGCCTTGGAGCTGGGGACCTCTTTGGACAGGGGCTCCTGCGGGTGGTGTTGATAGTGGTGGAGGCAGGAGTGGGGCCAGGGAAAGCAGGCCAGGTCAGTTACATGCCCTACCTTCACAGGTGTCCTTGCTGGCCACGACAACCGCGTGAGCTGCCTGGGGGTCACTGACGATGGCATGGCTGTGGCCACAGGCTCCTGGGACTCCTTCCTGAAGATCTGGAACTAACCCGTCTGGGAGGGCCCTGCCCATGCCCACACTACAGGCCGGGAGCTCTGGGGCTGGGTGCACCAAGCTCCCTCCCCGGTGGGCCCTGGGGCCCTGCTCCCCCACCCAGGTTTGGTTCCTCCCGGGGCCCCCCACTGCGGAGATAAAGATGGGGGTAGAATGGGGGGAAGAGAAGGGGCAGAAAGCCTTCTTCCTTTTGCTACCCTGGGGTTGGAGCCTCATCCCTCTGGAGGGCCAGAGGCAGGAGGTGGGAACTCCAGGGGCTGGCTTTTTTAAAACTGGTTTTATTTTAATTTTTATTATATTTTCAGTTTTTCCATAAAGGAACCAATTCCAACTCTGTGCCTGGTCTCCACCTTGCTTGTATTTCACTTCGGTTTCTGCTGCCTGTGGGGGGGGCGGGTTCCTCAGTCCCAGGTTCTTTCATGCCAAAGCCATAGCCCCTGGCAGAGTATCTGCACAGATCCATGGCCACATGTTCTTGAAGGCACCTAGCACTCTGGCCTGGCCACAGCTTCCCCTGCCTTTGACTTTTGGCTCCCAGCCCAATGTCCCTTCTCCAAATCAAGACAACAGACACTTTGAGGGAGAACACACTGAGTTTATTGGAGGGAGAGGAATATTTACAGGGGCAGGTCAAACAAAGAAGTCACACAGAGGAAGGGGTAGGAAGACTGTAGGGACAAGGTGGACATGGGGGTACAGAATGGCCCCTGCACCAACCCCAACCTGGGCTGGAGAGCAGCCAGGGGCTCAGACGGATCAAAAAGAATAGCAATGGAGTTGGAGTCCCTGGGCTGGGGGCTCAGGGGCTTGTAAACATTGACCACTCTCAGAAAGGGATGGGGTGGGAGAGGGCTCCCCTACACTTCCTCTTCAGGGTTAAGGCCTCTCCAGGCTCAAGGGCCCCCAAAGTTCAAAGTCTCTTCAGCTGAGGGGAAGGAAGAGACAGGAAGAGTATCGTGCCCCTCCCCCTGCATTGGCTGTGGCAGGGGTGGGGTGGGGGTTACATTCAGTCACAACAGTAGCCCCCTACTCCCCTAATGCCACCAAATACTGGTGAGAGGGAAGGGGGAGCTGGGGGGCCAGCAGCAGCAAGACTTTTCCCCCTGGCCCATCACCCCCTTATTGCTTTAGAGAGAACATTGTCTTTTCACGGA